TTTGAAAGTTTACGGGTTTAGAAATTATAAATTTTACGGGTTCGAAATTTCGGGGTTTTGAAAGTTTAGCGGTTCGAAAGTTTATGAAATTTGTGGGTCCGAAAGGTTGTTAGTTTGAAAGTTTATGGCTTCATGTTTATTATACTTAAATTATTTATGAATAATCTTGAGAAGTTATTTTCCTTAATTTGTGTACCAAACACCAGAAAATGAATAAGATTAGACGGAAAACATTTTCCGTATACCAAACACACCCTAAGTATCTTATTTTTTTCGCTGCATTTTCCTTTTCTTTTACATGAGGTCTGCAATAAAGTGGTTACTAATTAAGGGTTGTAGTGTTCTTCTATCGTTGATCACATTTTGGGTTGAAGGTGTTACTGGATTCTCGGGAAGCTGCATGTTAGCCTCTAGATCCTCCACCGGTCATTGAGATTTTCATGTCGCGCATCAGGAGGGCTTTACTTCCTTAGTGAACTTTGACAATGCAAATTTATCGGATTAGTCGAATAAGTGATAGTTGAATACTCGATAAATAAACCAAACGAATTAAAGAACAAATTACTTTAGACAATGGGGTGGCTTTGCAACTCAATTCTGCGCTTTTAAGCCTTAAAAATCTCACTTTTACCCTCCTTGATTTGCGTGCGCAGTCCGAGCGTGTTTCCGGCAAGATTGTATGTTAAAAGTTGATAAAAATAAGATATATTGTAATGCTAGGAGTAACAAACTCCTCCTGGAGAATTATCGATCCTTTAAAATATCGCTCACCTAATTGTTCTATGGAATGCATTTTCCTCAATGGTGTTCTTTATTGGACTGATAGGTTCACTTGTGTTGCGTACTTCAACTTTCGCGAGGAGAAGTTTGGATATATTTCACCCCCACTCCCATATCCACAATGTAATTTCACACGATGGTGTAGCATTCAACCTGCATTGTGGGGAAAATTGCTATGTATTGTCTTTATCGTAAACGCCGTGATCTTTTGATATACGATGACACTAACAAGGTTTTTACTGCTGCTGAAAAGACGACAAGTATTAACGTTCCATCTGTGTTGGTTGGAGGAGAAAACATTAATGACAAGACAAAGGGAGCATATGTTTTAGCAACAGCAAGTGTAAGTAGTGCCCCTGCTTCTCTGCTTTCCTCCTCAAGGCCTTGTTACCCGATTTAATGCTTAACGAGCTTCATTGAATAGGCAGGGGGTTCCCACCTTGTCCAACACTGCTTGATCTTCTTTGGTCACCAAACACCGAAGGTAGCTAGCGACCCCCATAGGGGGAGAGAAAACTCGCGCTTCCTCTGGGATTGAGAAAACTATTGATCGTCTTTGGTCAGGATCGACACTCGGGGCCGGGAACCGGTTCACTAACTTTGGGCTCGAGGAAGACCCACTGGCTCCCGGCGATGGTACCTTCTTTGGCACCAGAAATCTCTGAGCCCAGTGACGTCCTCTGAGGCAGTAGACTCTAACCCATCTATACAGATATGGATATCTGTCGCCCCCTGAGGCCCCTTCTAAGAACGACTTTCTAACATACCGGCCTCAAGGATCATGGCATCCGAGAACATAGGAGATCTAGTAATGTCAATCACCCCGAGCGCATCTTTCAGGGCATTTTTTTTTGCTCGAGGAATATCAGCCCGGGTCTCCCTCTCAACCTCTTTAGCTAGGGGCGGTGTGGCCTTATCCCCTTCTGGTTCGGGAACACCAGCTAGACTTCCCTCATCGACCTCCTCATGGCGAGTCAGTTCAATTTCAGCACCCTCCGGTTCGGAGAGCCCGTGTATCACAACACCTTACCGCACGCGGGCCACCAGCTTGGATTTCTCTTCTTCTTCTTCTTCTTCTTCTTCTTTTTCTTCTTCTTCTTCGGACTCGTCCCTTAACCGGTTTACTAAGTCCGAGGGTAGAGCACTGGTGCTTCCCTTGGGCTTGCGCGACCTCCTTTTTGATTTTTTCTTTTCCAAGTTTTCCCTTGGGCCTCACAACGGCGTCTTTAGGGAGAACTACCAAAGTAAAACAGAATCAATAAGAGTCCGACAGTGCAAGATGAAAACCAAATATCATAAAATCATAAAAGAAAACTTAACATGATTACAGGCCTCCCACCAACCCTTCGATAGTTTACGCCGTATGCGCGCTCGGAATATGGTCTATTTGACACGAGACCCTTGATCCATTCCTTGAGTCGAGGAACCACTTCTGGCATCCGAGCCACAGCTGCACCACAATAACACCGATGAGAAGGGAGGTAAGTCAAGAAACGATAAATGAAGTCTTTAAGGTGAAGATATGCTTACGCTTCATATTCCATCTCTCGGGAAATGGCATGTCCTCGGCAGGAATCAAGTCCAAGGTCCTCACTCGAACAAGTCGACCCATCCAGCCTCGGTCCCGGTCCTCATCTATACTCGAGAATGGGGCCCTAGTGGCCCGACGAGCAAGTTTGATTAATCTCCCTCGATAGAGTCAGGGATTCTATATACGCATAAGTAAAAATAATACTGGTATAAAAATTTAATACCAGCTTATGCCTTGTTTGGTTACCAAATCTGGTATAAGTTATCCCAGTATTAAAATTAATACCAGGATAACTTATACCTCTCAGGAGGTGGGATAATTAATGCTTGGATTATTATCTCTCGACAAAATAGCCCTAAAGTCCTCAAACCCCTTTTCTACATCACTTTTCCCATTCTTTACCCAACATTGGTAAAGCAATGCCGCTACAAATTTCTCTGCTCTCGGGGAAGATTTCTTCTCTTCTGTGAATGCAGAAGCTATGTTGTAGTGATTGAAGAAGACATTATCTTCCATTTTTCTTTTCTTACAAGGTTAAAACTTCTATCAAAGCTTATTTCTCTTATTCTTTCTTGTTATCATTTATAAGTTCTTTGTTGCATAATTTGGGTCCAGTCCTCTTCTCTACCAAAGAACTCTTTTATGAATGGTACGTAATTGTTTTGCTGAATTTTATTTAGCAAATAATTGAGAAAAATCATAGCCTTTAAAACTCAATATGTAGTGCCGAAAGAGCTGAAATATATGAAAGAGTACTTGCTGAATGTGAAAGAGCTGTAATATGTGAAAATCACAGTTGTGGATTGTCTTCTGCCATTTATTAGCTCTTCTCTCTTTATGTTGATGATGAAATCTTAGTTTATCTTCTTTCCAAATATTCGTTGGGTTCATTTGTTTCTCTTTATGTACTTGAAAATTATAAATTTTTACTCATAGATTCCTTTTTCTAATTGTAATTTTTTTTATATTAATTCTTTTCATTTTTGTAATGGCAAAATTAGGTTTTCTTATGGATCATCAACTATTGTCCGATATTGAATGCGTTATTATCCTTGAGGAGATATTGTGCCAATAGTTTCTTGTTGTATTTATATTTCTTTTAATGACTATTTATGGTCATTCTATAAGAAGACAACATAGAAATAGGCGTGTGATTAGGTACCGTATGAGTGTTCGAATTCCTAAAATTATGTCTCATTTGAATTGTATCATACATGACAGTGATATTGCATGTATTGATAAGTTAAGAATGGATAGAAATTCCTTTCGCACTTTAGTTGTCTTAACTAAGGAAATTGGAGGTTTAACTGATAGTAAAAACATGTCAAGTAGTGAAAAGTTAGCAATGTTCTGAAATATCTTAGCTCATCATGAGAAGAATAGATCAATTAAGGTTGACTATGTTAGATCGGGTTGGAGCGTAAGTCAAGCTTTCAATGAATGCTTGAGAGCTGTTCTCAGACTAGCTCCATTGTTACTTGTTAATCCCAAACCAGTGCTTGAAGATGAGATTGAAGATCAATGGAGATGGTTTAAGGTATGTGAAATTTCTTTTGAGCATATATTAATTTATGTAAAACTAAAAAAATATATAATCATACGAAAAGAAATTAATAGTTTGAGATAATCTATAATTGATTTTATAAGGATGTCTAGGTGCACTTGATGGTACTTTCATTCAAATTAGAGTTCCATCCGAGTACAAACCAAGATACAGAACAAGAAAAGGAGAAATAGCAACTAATGTATTGGGAGTTTGTGATAAAAATCTTAATTTTACTTATGTATTACCTGGTTGGGAAGGATCAGCTGCCGATGGTCGTGTATTACGAGATGCTATAGTGCAAACGAATGGTTTGAAAATTCCTGAGGGTATGCCATACATATGCTTATACACTCAAGTTATACAAAAAGAATGCTACATAAAAGTAACTAAATTTTATGTTTATATTTTAGGAAATTATTATTTGTGCGATGGAGGATATACAAATGGAAACTGTTTTCTTTCACCTTATAGAGGGAATAGATATTTGTTAAGGGATTGGCAAGGTGACAATCCGCCACCTCGATGTCGAGAAGAGCTTTTCAGTATGAAGCATGCTAGGGCTCGTAATGTTATCGAAAGAGCATTTGGTCCCTTGAAAGGGTGTTGGGGAATTCTTAGAAGCTCTTCGTGGTACTCAGTTAAGGTTCATAACAGGATCATTAGTGCTTGTTGTTTGATGCACAACTATATTCGTAGAGAGATTGAAGTGGATACCTTAGATATTGATATGGAAGAACAAGTGGAGTATCAACATGACAACATTAATGTTGTTGAATCATCTCAGGAGTGGACCACATGAGGGATGAGTTGGCTCAATCAATGTGGAATGCAAGTCTAAACAATTGATTGTTTCAAAACGTTCCATGCTTTTATTATATTTTGTGGTGTTTGGGTATTTTTCTCTTTAGTTTTTTGTATGATTGTAAGGTGTATCAACTTTCAGTTTTTTGTGATTATAACAAATAGTTACTTACTTTGATTTTTGTGAAGATTACTTATATTTAGTTAGCGTTTCTTTTTTGATAGTTCTATACTTCCATACATATGCTTTTTGTGATGCTAAGTAATATTGGAGATACTTATGCTTCTTGTGGAGATAACTAATACTTATGATGATTTATTTCACAAGATTATACAGATATAATGAATAGACAGGCAGAAAATTCAAAGCTATTGTCAATAAGATCAAGAAAATCAACACCTTCTTCCCGAAGGATCTGGACTCCAGCAGAAGAAAGTGCTCTTTTAGATGGTTTAAAAAAATTGTGTGCTGATGGTTGGCGAGCTGATAATGGAACCTTTAGGCCGGGATACTTGATGGAATTAGAGCACTATTTGCATGAACGTCATCCTAGTAGTCAATTGAAAGGTGAACCACATGTTAATAATAAAGTAAAAGCGTGGAAGAGATGTTATTCAAGCATAAGTTTACTAAAGAGTCGAAGTGGTCTGGGATTTCAATATAGTGATGGAACCATAATTGTTGACGATCCAAAACAGTGGGATGACTTTATAAAGGTAATTTGTACTTTGCTTAAGTTATTAGAATATTGTTACTTCATATAAGAATTTTCCCGAGTTCCCATCATAGTTTATAATTGACGCATTTGTCATTACTTTTGTTTCTTTCCTTATTTTTTCTAGATGGATCCAAAAGCAAAAAGCATGAAAACTAAGAAATGGCCGATGTTTGAGGATTGGGAGGAAATTTTTGGCAAGGATAGAGCGACAGGAGAGTACGCAGAAGGGCCGCTAGATGCTGGTGAGGATATTCTAAGGAGTCAAGCTTCAGGACTTTCTAATGACATGAGCTTAGGATGGCCTATTGTTGTTGATGATGAAGAAGAAGATGATGCTCGTGATGGACCTAATATAGCTACTGGAGAAGCTAAAAATGAAAATGCTTATGATGGACCTAGTTTTACTGGAGCATCTGAAAAGGAAGATGCTAGAGCATCTGAACAAGAATGTGCTGGAGCATTTGAAAATGAATATGCAGGATTCCAACAAAATCATAAACAAGGTGAGCATGCTAATAGGTCCTCTTCTAATTTTAATGAAAAAGAGAAAAGCAAGAAAAGAAAAAGGGTTGTGGAGGATTCTAGTGAGATATTTCTTAAGGGTATGACAGAAGTTATGAAAATTTTTATTGAACGTCAAGATAAAAGAATGGGTGCCTTGATTGATAAGATTGGGAATCGTGACCGATCCGATATTTGTGGTGAAATTTATTCCATCCTTGAGTCTCCCGCATTTGAGTTGTACTCTGTATAAGAACGTATCAAAGCTAATGATTCTCTGTGAAGATGTGAAAAAGATGGAATTATTTTTACGTATGGGTGAACTTGAGCGCCAAACAATGATGTTCATGATTATCAATGGTAAACTTTGAAGTATGGTAAAGTTGTGTATATGTGGTGGTACTAGTTTGATAGTTTTTGCTCGACTAACAACTTTAAAGTTAAATTGTAGTGCTATTTTTGATACCTCGGGTTATGTCCATACTCTTTTGTTTATGACTGGTGGGCACGAGGATGCTATATATTTTGTGTAACTAATGTCTATTAAATAGCTTAACTCTAGTGTAAATGTTAAGTGCATATGTAATTATATTACTACTATGACAATTCTTCAATTTCTCTTTTTAGCTTAACTATGTTTTTGATGCCTCTAAATTCTATGGTTTTGGTTATGTTCTGGCCAACTTGTGGATCTTGGTTTGAACCTCTGATGTGGAGTTTTTTTTTAAAATCACAATACATTCCATGAAAATTGAGAAGACCAAGAAATCAGTAATATTATACATGGCAATTAGCGATCTTACATCTGAAGGAAATAGCGAAGTAAGTTAGGAAGAAGATTTAGAAGAAGAAATCAACAGATATATTTCAAACAATTGAAAACTAGAGCCTCAAAAAATTATTTAGTACTTGTTGATGTAAGAATTGGAAATTGACGTATGTCAATTGGATAAAGGAGTAAGAAGATGGAGGCTAAATAAGATGGAGGGTATTTTTGTAAACAAACAGCTTCGTCTTAAAAATTATGCAATGCATATCATTTTTAATACAACATACCAAACAGTGGATAAAAAACAATACCAGCATAACTAATCCCAGTGTAACTAATCCCAGCATAACTTATCCCAGCATAACTTATCCCAGTACAAGGGGTATTCAAACCAAACGACCCCTAAGTATCTTGTTTTTTTCGTTGCTTTTTTCTTTTCTATTACATGAGGTCTTCAATAAAGTGGTTACTAATTAAGGGTTGTAGCGTTCTTCTATCATTGATCACATTTTGGGCTGAAGCTGTTACTGGATTCCTGGGAAGCTGCATGTTAGCCTCTAGATCCTCCACTGGTCATTGAGATTTTCATGTCGCGCATCAGGAAGGCTTTACTTCCTTAATGAACTTTGACAATGCAAATTTATCGGATTAGTCGAATAAGTGAGAGTTGAATACTCGATAGATAAACCAAACAAATTAAAGAACAAATTACTTTTGACAATGGGGTAGCTTTGCAACTCAATTCTGCGCTTTTAAGCCTTAAAAATCTCATTTTTACCCTCCTTGATTTGCGTGCGCAGTCCGAGCGTGTTTCCGGCAAGATTTTATGTTAAAAGTTGATAAAAATAAGATATTGTAATGCTAGGAGTAACAAACTCCTCCTGGAGAATTATCGTTCCTTTAAAATATCGCTTACCTAATTGTTCTATGGAATGCATTTTCCTCAATGGTGTTCTTTATTGGACTGATAGGTTCACTTGTGTTGCGTACTTCAACTTTCGCGAGGAGAAGTTTGGATATATTCCACCCCCACTCCCATATCCACAATGTAATTTCACACGAAGGTGTAGCATTCAAACTGCATTGTGGGGAAAATTGCTATGTATTGTCTTTATCGTAAACGCCGTGATCTTTTGATATACAATGACACTAACAAGGTTTTTATTGCTGCTGAAAAGACGACGAGTATTAACGTTCCATCTGTATTGGTTGGAGGAGAAAACATTAATGACAAGACAAAGGGAGCATATGTTTTAGCAACAACATGTGTAAGTAGTGCCCCTGCTTCTCTGCTTTCCTCCTCAAGGCCTTGTTACCCGATTTAATGCTTAATGAGCTTCATTGAATAGGCAGGGGGTTCCCACCTTGTCCAACACTGCTTAATCTTCTTTGGTCACCAAATACCGAAGGTAGCTAGCGACCCCCATAGGGGGAGAGAGAACTCGCGCTTCCTCTGGGATAGAGAAAACTATTGATCGCCTTCGGTCAGGATCGACACTCGAGGCCGGGAACCGGTTCACTAACTTTGGGCTCGAGGAAGACCCATTGGCTCCCGGCGATGGTACCTTCTTTGGCACCGGAAAATCTATGAGCCCAGTGACGTCCTCTGAGGCAGTAGACTCTAACCCATCTAAAAAGATATGGATATCTGTCGCCTCCTGAGGCCCTTTGTAAGAACGACTTTCTAAGATACCGGCCTCAAGGATCATGGCATCCGAGAACACAGGAGATCCAGTAATGTCAATCACCCCGAGCGCATCTTTCAGGGCATTTTTTTTTTCTCGAGGAATATCAGCCCCGGTCTCCCTCTCGACCTCTTTAGCTTGGGGAGGCGTGGCCTTATCCCCTTCTGGTTCGGGAACACCAGCTAGACTTCCCTCATCAACCTCCTCATGTCGAGGCAGTTCAATTTCAGCACCCGCCAGTTCGGGGAGCCCGTGTATCACAACACCTTACCGCACACGGGCCACCAGCTTGGATTTCTCTTCTTCTTCTTCTTCTTCTTCTTCTTCTTCTTCTTCTTCTTCTTCTTCTTCTTCTTCTTCTTCTTCTTCTTCTTCTTCTTCTTCTTCTTCTTCTTTTTCGGACTCGTCCCTTAACCGGTGAACTAAGTCCGAGGGTAGAGCACCGGTGCTTCCCTTGGGTTTGCGCGACCTCCTTTTTGGTTTTTTCTTTTCCAAGTTCAGAGAACTCAGGTTTCTTTTTCTCTTCTTTTCACCACCCTCCCTTAGAGAAAAAGACTCGAAAGGCACATCCTCATCACCGGATAGAGGCCTCACAACAACATCTTTGGGGAGAACTACAAAAGGAAAGCAGAATCAATAAGAGTCTGACAGTGCAAGATGAAAACCAAATATCATAAAATCAGAAAAGAAAACTTAACATGATTACGGGCCTCCCACCAACCCTTCGATAGTTTACGCCGTATGCACGCTCGGGATATGGTCTATGTGACACGAGACCCTTGATCCATTGCTTGAGTCGAGGAACCACTTCCGGCATTCGAGCCACAGGTGCACCACAATAACACCGATGAGAAGGGAGGTAAGTCAAGAAACGATAAATGAAGTCTTTAAGGTGAAGATATACTTACGCTTCATGTTCCATTTCTCGGGAAATGGCATGTCCTCGGCAGGAATCAAGTCCGAGGTCCTCACTCTAACAAATCGACCCATCCAGCCTCAGTCCCGGTCCTCATCTATACTCGAGAGCGGGGCCCTAGTGGCTTGACGAGCAAGTTTGATTAATCCCCCTCGATAGAGTCAGGGATTCTATAGACGCATAAGATGATCGAGGGAGAAGTAACACCCCTCGTTTTTGTTTACAAAAATGCGAAGAAGAATCACTATCCTCTAGAAAGAGGGATGAATTTGACCGAGGGTCACTTCATACCTTTTGCAGAAGGCAATGATGATCGATTCTAAGGGACCCAACGTGAAGGGGTAAGTGTAAACACTTAAAAAACCCTCCACGTGGGTGGTAATTGATTCCTCAGGCGAGGGAACCACCACTTGTTTATCGGCCCAGTTACAAACCTCTTGACCTTGGAGAGGAGATCATCGATGATCGAATATATGTATCTCGAGACCGGCTCACAGCAACCCGGTACCGAGGAAGTTTTTTCGATCTTAAAATTAGAAGTGGTCCCGCACCCTCTAGGAATGAACTCGTCGGAGTGTGGTTCTGCCACAGCCCAGTCGGTGACAGGCCGTGAAGAAGAGGCAACCTCCTTTTGTGGGACAGTCTTAGAAGTTTTCGCCATTTTAGAGCAAAGATGAAGGAGAAGAAATTAAGAAGGTATGCTTAGCGGTTTGCAGAATGTTCAAGAAATTTTGGGTACAAAAGTTGGTTAATGAAGAGATTTTTTAAGAACATGGATGGAAGAAGCTTTGGACAGAAAGTTTGAATGAATGAAAATCATGATATTTACAGTCTGCAAATGGCGGTTCAAAACCCGTAGTGGCCGACCAAACCGACACGCATATAATGCCTTGATAACTGGACCAGCGGGATGTTTTAGTAACCGTTTGTCATGTACATTGTCACACCTCCTTATTACCTACACCCCCGGAAGGGTATAAGGGAGTTTTTTCAATTAAAGTGACAATCGAAACAGGATTTATTTATTTATTAAATTCAGAGTCACCACTTGAGAGATTTATGGTGTCCCAATGCACCGGTTTGAATCCCGAATCGAGGAAAAGGTTGACTCTGTTAACAGTCCGCGAACCAGAAATCCGAGTAAGGAATTCTGTTAACCCTGGAGAAGGTGTTAGGCATTCCCGGGTTCCGTGGTTCTAGCACGGTCGCTCAACTATCATATCTGGCTTAATTGTCTAATTTTATACAATTATGAACCTATGCAAATTTTAACCTTTTAACCACTTTTATTCATATATTTTTTTTAAAGAAGATTGCCACGTCGTGAAAACACGTCTCGAACCACGTCACATAAATGCACCCGCGATTTTTGACATATTTTAACTTCGTTGGGATTTGGATTTGGGTCACATAAATGTGCACCCGAGTTTAAGAAGGTAAATTTATTAAACACGTGCCTAAAAGCGACTACGCATTGTTAACTTTGCAAGGGCCATGAAAATTTGCTAAATGACACGCTTCGATTCTAAATTAAAAGGAGACTTCAACTGCATTCATAAAGCCATAACGGTTTATTACCTAGCACAGTTCACTCATACTAGCTAGAGAACCCAATTATCCAACATTAATGAGGCAAAGGTTCCAATATGGTCTAGGCTAAAGGAATGTATTCTAACAGAAAGAAAGAAGCTAAAGATGTGAGATTAAAAGAATGGGCCAAACGTGAAGCCCAGTAGCTGCGGTCCCAGGACTATTTGAATTACCAATTGGGCAGCCCAAACCCGTCCAAGGCAAGGCCTAAATTTAAATGAGGAGGACTTCAACCAGTGACGAGATCCTCAGCTCGATTCCTCACATTATCACGGAACGGTCTCTCACATTTC